TGGAGAATGGAGGAATAAATTATGGTATGTTGGAATACTATTGTGCTGTGAAAAATGATGAAAGGGATGGTTTCAGAAAAACCTAGGAAAATTTATGTGAACTAATGCAAAGTGAAGTAAGTAGAACCAGAACAATCTACATAGTAACAAAAATATTGTAAAGATAATCAATTGTGAGAGACTTGAAAACTCTGATGAATGCAATGAACAATCCAATTCTAGAGACTCATGATGAAATATCCTACCCACCTCCAGATGAAGAGAAGATGGATTCAGAATGCAGATTATGGCACATTTTTTTTTATCATGGCTACTGTGGTAATTTGCTTTGCTTGACCATCCATGTTATAATGAGTTTTGGTTTTCTTGTTTTCTCAGTGAGTTCAGGGGAGGGGAATAAGAAGGATAGATTTTTTATCTGAAAATAAAATTAAATTAAACTTAAAAAAGAAAGAAGTTAGATGAGAAGTTTTCTGCATCAAAAGCAAGATGGTTTCTGAGAGAGATCAGAGATATGGCCCAGGAACAACTCACCTAGAGTAAGAAATATTGAGAGACTATCTGAGTGAGTATCTACTTCCTTGGGGATCACATCCTTAAGGGAAACTCAGCCTGGGAAGACTAGTTTCTTTTGAATCCTGGGAGAAAGTCCTGATGCAGGCATAGTGTCATTCAGAACTGGGTAGCATATGCTCTGAAATTTCTTCCCAATTCCCACTCACTGATGAGTCAGGTCCCCAGAGCAGAGCATCGGGGTCTAGGGGTTGTCCTGAGTTGTAGAACTAGGGAGGTGTCAATACTATAGAATTCTTGAGCCCCTGCAAATGTCCTTCCCCCCCACCCCCATGATTATCAGTTGCTTTCAATTAGTCAATCTTAATCAGCTTTTAGAAATGGATATTTATTAATGTGATATAGTATAACAGTGGGTACAAAAACTTCTCACATGCCCCAAGGTTTGTGACACACCTGTCCATACAAAGTCCAGGGGGAAATGGATTAAAGCTTGGAGAGCACATGTGGGAAAGGGATAAATCAGCAGCTCCTGGAAGTCCTTTTTCTGAAATCCTCAAGATGTTTCCCTTGGGCATGGTGAAGCTCTTCTGCATGGGCTCCTTGGAGAGCCTTAAATCTACCTTTCCTCATCACATTCAATTTGTTCTCAATTCCCAGTGCAGACAATGCCACCAATCACTGCAGTACCAAGGACAATGCTAGAATGTCAATAGGAAGATGGGAAGTCAGAAATCCTCCAGACTCCGTGAAGTTCACAAAGTGCTGCTCTGTCTGTGGATATGGGGGAGGAGATCAAGACAAAGCTAAGGTGCTCTCTTCACCAAGTGATTCTTTCTCAGGGGGGTAGCTGGAAGTTTCCATCCTAAGCTTACAGATACTCAGATCCCCTTATTTTAACTTGCTTAATAATGGTCCCAGAGTGTATCTTCAAGTCCCTTAGGCAATCTGAACAAATTTCTTGTTCTTAGGTAAATATTTAGTCTTTATTGACACTTAGTGAGCAATCAAGATGTGTGCTCACTTGATAAATGTAGTAAGGTCAAGTAGGATAGGCTGATTTTCATGCTCTTACAACTGTAAGAGATCTATAAACTAATCTGATCTAAACTGAGCTCAGTGGGATTCTTTGTCACCTCTCTGTTCTAATGATTAGGTCTGAAGAGAAGTGAGCCATTACATGAGTAACAAAATGATTTCTTTCTGACTTATCTTAGATGTGTTAACAAAGATGGTAAGAAAAAAAAATAAATTATATTTATTGAGAAAATAGTTCCCCAGAGAGGAAAAAGAGACAACCAGATTTAATCTGATCTAGAGTTTTCTTTCTTATCTCATCTCTCTGCCTTACCCAACTTTTACTTTCTGGCCTCCTAAGTATGATCTGTAAATGGAAAATGAATATTTACTGTAATTCATGACTAGATAAAGACTGTATCCTTTCTATCTCTCTCTCTACCACAACTACCAGTCCATGCCAGGCCCAGACATGATATCCCTTTGCTCAATCTGAAAATGATAAAAAAAAATTTCAAGAGGGATTTATTAGTATTCAAAAGAACATAGGTGAAATCAATGTATAGCCCCTTGCCTTACCCTGTATTCTAGCCAAACTGAACAACTCACTATGCCTTGAACAAGTAATGCCCATGCCTGTCTCTCTCTTTTCTCACTCTGCATTTCTGAATTGGAATACCACCTCCCAACTGTTCCATCCATCATTTCTTTCCAGACCCAATACTGAATTTTTCTCCTCTAAACTTTCCTAGATTGATCTCTCCCTTGCTTTAAGGGTGACATTAATGTACTTTCAGGCATATATGCTTATATTAGACTACGACTTCATGGAGAACCGAAGCCAAGTCTCTTTCCTTACACCAATCTAATTCCCAATGTCCCATATCAGGGTAGGAT